GTCGCGGCGCATGTGTGGAGGGTCGCGGCGCTTGGGGGAGGGTGGTTTGAAAAAAGGAGATTACTTGTTTTCTTTATTATATAACAAAGTGCTGACTTTTTCTTGCATGACGCACACCCAGACCCCCCATGTTTCAGCCCCCCCTCCCCCGCGCAGCGCGACCCACCCCTGCGCAGCGCGACCCACCCCTGCGCAGCGCGACCCACCCTCCCCCCACGCGCTGCGACCCACCCCCGCGCAGCGCGACCCACCCTCCCCCCACGCGCTGCGACCCACCCCCGCACAGCGCAACCCACCCTCCCCCACGCGCTGCGACCCACCCCCGCGCAGCGCGACCCACCCTCCCATGCGCTGCGACCCAACCCCGCAGCGCGACCCATCCCCCCTCAGTTCCAGTGTCCATTGGGAACACAACACAGAAGTTGAGGGCACATCAATGTTGCATTGGTGGTACTTGCAACAAGAGGAACAATGAATTAAGGAAGACAAAAAAGGGAAGAGTCGTTATCTTGTCATTTTCTTCAAGTCTCAAGAAAGTTTCCTGTCACCTTGGAGGTCAAATAACAGGTCTTATTGGTCACTTTTAAGTCATGTTTCATACCACAACAAAGTTAAAAGTCAAGCCTTACATGAGTGTAATTTTAAGTGTTTGACGTAAACAGGTAATGTTGAACTTCAAGAAATACAATTATCTGTTCCATTACCTCCAATCATTGGATTTTGTTGAGACACTAATTTTGTGTAACATAAATGCCGTCAGAATTGTTTAAACATTTTGAGTGGAGAAATTCAATTAAGCCAGAAGTATCTCCAGTAATTAGCAAACATCAAGTGAATCGTACCAAAAATAATTGATAATAATTTGCTTCAAGTTTGGTTTGCTGACTTTTGAAAAGTTGCAGGTTTGGAACTTATCAGAATAGGATTTCTAAATTAGTTAGCTTGAATGAAGTGGACTGCTTAGGGCTCTTAAAATCTCGCACATGTAATTACCGTTATTACATTGATTGGCTATCGTAATCACTTATTGAAAAAGCAAAACTTTGAATGTTAAGCCTTAAAAAGCACTGGAGGTAAAAACATACCAACATAAAGCTTGACTTGTGACTTTGCGCTATGATGAAAATGTAACTTTAAACTGACCCAAATAACCTGAGATTTGATAACCACAAATCACACATGTACATGTTTGCAGTGCCAAGATTTAAAATGTGAATAAATGGACTAAAATAGACAATTTACGCAGTGCTTTGTGCCCCTTATTTTCTTTTGTGTGTTTAATTACTGCTGAATTTTTGGATGGGTTATATAAAATTAACAGCCAAGATCCGCAGCATGAAAATGGTGAACTGACAACGGAAACTGACAAAGTTTCCCTCTTTTTCTTTTTTGGCATTGCTGCTGTAGCTTTTTTGGGTGGTGCTCATGAAAATTAGCCTAAATCTGCATGGATCCATGTAACTACAGCACATGTACATGTATGAAGTGACATGAAACATTCTTGAGACAAGAAGAAAATGACTTGATAACAACTCACCCCTTTCTAACCTTCCTGAATTCATTGCTCCGCCGGTCACAAGTACAACCAATGTAACATTGATGCAGCCCACCAACCTGCACTGTGTTCCCTAATGGCCACTAGAACGCGTAGCGAAGTGGAGCAGGTGCATGCTGACCTCTTCTGGTTCCTGGACCTCCATTGATGGCTGCATGATGAGGGTAGACTGCTTTGGCTGTGCTAGGCACTCTTGGGGTTCTAAAAAGCAATTTAAAAAAAATGAAGGGAATTATACATGATGTTTTGAGACTGACGTATGCAATCACAACCAAATGTAAAACTGTCAACACAATTTTCATTAAAAAGACGCAAAATACATGTATAAAAGACTGTTAAAGATTTACATTTGAAATGCATGTACAGTAATTTAGCAGTTTCCAATAAATTGAGAGGGTAAATATACAAACCAGGAAGGCAATTTGTCAGTGTTAAGCTTTTCTATCCGCTCAGTTCAGATCAAACACCAGGTACATATTGGGGTACATGTGTACATGTACATGTCTTTTTCCTTCCATGATGCACTACAGAAATGTGTTGGCTTTTTGGATACTGCTTTCTGACTATTTAAGACCTGGGTCTTATTACATAACATGCCATAGACCAGAAGAAAGGACAGTGCCAAAGCATTGTGTGCAACCAGCTTGAGAGCCCTCATTAGCTAAGCAGGTCAAATTTGAATTTGAGTAGAAGAGGTCACTGGACATGCTCAATCCTGCCAGCAAAGCCCTACTTTTGCAGTTGACACATTTGGTAACCATGAATGCTGTAAGGTTCAGATAACTATATCAAAAAACGTTTTGGCGGGTCGGGAGGTGGGCGAGTGAATAAGCAAGTTTGGGCGAAAAGGGAAAAAAATGTAAAAACTTTTTAAAAAGCAGGAAGCATGAAACCCAGAAATTTCTAAAAAGCAAGTAAACGGCTTGGAGTAAATGAATAAAAAGGAACTGTAGAGAACCTGAAATCTTTCTAAATTTCCTAAACTGAAGCGTTCCACAGAAATCACATAGCATCCTGGCTGAATTTAAATGAAGCAAGATTTCCAGGCCATTTTTTGGAAGTTTTGCTGATAAACGTGAGATCAGGGAATGAAGAAAAATTCACAAAACACTTCACAGAATGATGATCACAAAGATTTAAATGTAACTACTGCAAAGTTTCCATTGTTTTAGATATGATGTGAAATCAGTCAGTACACACCAACCAAAAAAGCCCTTCCATTTATTTGCCTCGTATACACGATTCTGAACTGTGCCTATGTAATTAGTGGTAATTGGGTAGTAGATTTTTGGAAATTGTTTGTGACCTTGTTTGTCTTGAAAATGTAATAGTGTAATAATTGGACAGCTATGATACCAATCTCACATTCTTTATAAAATTGTCTGAGTGTGATGTTTGAGAGAAATATTGCACACACGTACATGTACATACACTGTACATGCATACTGTACATGTGAAGAAAAATTGGTCTTGTCTGAGAAATTGAGCACACGAAAAACAGGCTTTACATTTTAATGGATCTAAATCCGAACCAGCAGAACTCTATTGAAACCTGAAAGGTCTAGTATGTGTATGTTCCATGTTCATCCAAAAATCAAGTTTTGGAATTTTCATACTGATGCCAAATGGTCACGTGCACCAAAATAACAGGTACTTTGTTTTTGTAAATTCAACTGCAAAAATTGTTTCCTTCGTTTCATTAATACTCTCTGTGATTGGTACGAGTACAATGGCCAATCACATGCTACAGGAGATATGTACATGTATGGGACCTCCTTCCGAAACCCAGCCTCTGTGTATGGACACAGTTTAAGGATGCCAGTCGTCAACTGCCAGAACAGGACTTACTATTTATTTCACAAAATAGAAAGATGGAGGAAGATCATACGATACTAACTGCAGCTGCAGACTCTCATCTGTAATTAATGTGCTTTATCTCATTGAACTACACTTTTATCTTCCAATTATTTGATATTGTTTTGTTTACCATGGACCACTGATACTGCGGAGTGCAGAGCCAAAGAACGGATGGATGCTTAAAATGCACTTAATCATTAAAATTTATTTTACATTTAAATTAAAAACAAAACAAAAAAGCTGACACATGCTTGATGTAGGCCCCTGGACACTGCACGATTAGCATGATCAACTTGAGCAGTTTGAAAAGAAACAAATGTAGGCCAACATGTTCCGATTAAATGAAAATGCTCAACTGTACTACCAGAAATATGATTTATAATGTCAAGAAGAAATTAAACATCATCACGATCAAGACTTTGATGGCTTTTATGAGTACATGTGTATGAATCCATGTGTAAGCAAGCTGTGCATGATGCCACACTCTCGGAAAATTAACCAATCATAGTGGGAAATCAAACTTTAATGACCTAAAACCATACCGACTACCCAAGCGGAGAAAATTTTGGTATCAAACAGAAATTTCATCCTTTCGGTGGAAAAATGACAGGCTTCAATTTTGTGTATTTCTTGGGAAACGGATGCACAATAGGACCTATAATTCTTACACAAAACATAAGGCAAGATTTATTTTCCAACCTCACTGTGATTGGCCATGAATAAAGAAGCAGGTTTTCCTGCCACTTTGAAAGGAATCCTACCGTCATCTCGCATTTTTACTCATGAAATCACATGCTCACAAGAGCATCGTCCCGTGCAAATGGAAAATTTGCCAGTAAGGCTCATCAGTGGGCAGGCTGTGCACTGACTGAAATCTTTTTAGTCATTACGGTTTTTTGTGATACTCGCACAAGGAGAAAAACATGCGATGTACTGCACATGTACCTGGACATTTAATTTTTAGGAACCTACATGTACACGTTGATTTCATAACTATGACGAATACCTAATTAACATAATGATAGGAATTAAATTTTATTCCAACGGTCTGTAATTTCAGGGTGGTTTGGGTATCTTTTTTGGGGGGGTGCGCCAAATTTAATTCTAAAAGTCATTAGCAGATCCTCGGAGATGGAACTGAATTTCAAGGAGGTAGATTGGTGAAGTAGTGCTCACTTACCCTCCAACCCAGTGACCCAGGTTCAAATCCCACCCAGGCCAATACGGGTGGAGTGAGGAGTCAGAAACATGCACTGGAGTGAACAAAACCTCTTCAAATTGGCCTGAAAAACTTGTGCTATTAATAGAATGAAAAATCTTACTTTTTGACAAGTCCACGAACTCTTGCTCAAAGGGAACATGACATCCTTTCTGCAGGCAAAGAAGAAGATGGTGTCTCTCACCAACCTGAGGGAGAATCAAAGAAATAATCATTTCATTAATTTTAACTGTGGACAAGTCATAAGCTTGCCTGTAACCTGTGATGGATGCACCTTTGTGGATCTTTCCAAAGCATAAGCACAAAGATGCTACCTAAATAAACCAGCAATTTTGAGGTGCCAAAAAGTGACATGGCATTCCGACTTTGAAAGGTTATAAAAGAAAATTTCAAGAGGCACACATGTATTAAAATCACCTTCATCGAGCTGAAACATGAGTTTCATTTATTTGGCAACGTTATTTTGAAAGAAATTCTGCCAAGTAAATCTATTTTGCCTTATATCATGACAGCACTCGGTGCCTGGACTGGTAAGGAAAGATCCTCCAATCATTAGAAGCAAAAAGGTTACATTTTTATCAACACACAATCCATGTGGTTTGTATCTCCAACACCAAACATAGCAATGGATACTGGTCCATGAACTAGTCCCTAAATATTATTAAGATTGTGCCAATATCATAATTTACCATCACCATGAATCACCTAATCGTACCTAATATATCTTTTTTAGATGAAATTTTACAGACCTAACAATGTTTTTAAGATTCGAATGAATTTTTTTGACCCAACATGTTTTTAAGAATCGAATAAAGTTTTTTAGACCTAATATATGTTTAAGATTTGAGTAAATTCTTTCAGACCTAACATGTTTTTGAAATCCGAATAAAATTTGACAGACCTAACGTTTTCCAGATTCGAATGCATTTTCTCCGACAATAAACAGCCGAAGGTTTCAAGTTCTGCACCAGCATTTCATCTGAATTCAGAAAGCATCCGAATTTCGAAAGCATCCGACTTTAAAAAGCATCCGAATTTCGAAAGCATCCGACTTTAAAAAGTATCCGAATATTGAAAAAGCATCGGAATTGAGAAAGCATCCGAATTTCGAAAGTATCCTATCCTTTTGACGGTGTTCGGCCTGATGGTACCCGAAGTTCCAAATCTTTTTCGACGATTCGGCTGTGTTCGGTATGCGCATGCGCAGTCAAACTGAAAATTAATCCCACTCCTTTAAACAATCGAGCAGTCAGTGCTATAAGCCCCAAATTTCCAATAAAGTCAAGCGACTACATACATACATTGATGGCACGGATGTTTTGCTGGTCTGGACGCCCGTGAGTGCGAGCCACAGTGCGCCCCAGGCATGTACAGTGTATGTTCATGCCCCTCACTTAGTTTCTGCGCATCCGTACTGAATCCCACTGTAGCCCGAAGCCTGTTAAATGGCCCTTAACTCGGACAGGTGGACCCCAAAAGTAATCGATCAGCATCCAGCTCAGAAAAAGTTGTTTGCCCCTTATTTCCATACCGATTAGTATTTCAACACTCAAAGTCCCTTTTGATAACTTGCACACGATAAAAATCCATGTTCTGCCACATCTTTCTTCCATACCTCCAAAGTACTAGAGTCGGAAGTTGGAAGTGAAGCCAACATTTTAGAGGGGATTTTTTCAGTTTTGCCAAGTTTTCCCTGACATTTCTCTAGTTGTGAATAGTGAGGAATATCATGAACGCTCTAATGAGAAAGTGTCATACAAGGAGGAAACTGTATGGATGATAATGGAAAGTTTTTGTTTGTGCCTGTTAGTCGGGCAATTCGACGTGATTGTACATATTCATGCGATGCAATAGGCCAACTCGTACCCAAATACACTCGTATCCAGGTCTGCGTAGGTACGCGCTTGCACCATGCCCAAAATCCGGGAATCTCATTTTTGACCGTAGCCAAACTCGTGTGGAAATTTGAATCCGCATGGAAAATAAAATGCATTTCAGACAAATGGCTCTCGATCTTGAAAAAAATTAACTGATAGATACAAAACAGTTATCAGTCTTCCAGACAGTTATACCGGTGATTTTTTAATGATTATACTTTGTCGGAAAATTGACGTTTTCCACTTTCTTTGATTTTCTTCCGCCGAGTTTTTGCACCAGATGCTATTACATATCACCCTTTGATAAAATCTTGGCAATTTATTCACACACGAGGTCTTCAATGGAAATGACAATACAATCCCCCACATGGGTCACCACAGATATACGTCGTCTGCTAGAATAATTTTTCAGGCCGACGACCATTATGTCACTATTGCGCATGAGCGAATACACAAACTAAGTGAGGGGCATGAACATACACTGTACATGCCTGGGGCGTGCTGTGGCTCGCACTCATGGGCGTCCAGACCAGCAAAACATCCGTGCCATCAATGTATGTATGTAGTCGCTTGACTTTATTGGAAATTTGGGGCTTATAGCATACCGAACACAGCCGAATCGTCAAAAAAGACTCTAATTCTGCTTCATAGTCGAGGGGCCTTTAGAACAACTCTGGATTACCATTCAAAAACAATGTTTGCCTTGCACACTAATTTTAAAAACAGTAATTTAAAGGTACCCCTAACGGTCCTCATTTACTCCTCAATCCTCCAACAGGTGAAGGACTGAGGACAATTGGGGTTAACGTCAACTTTCCTTAAATAAATATAATTAAATCTCAGGGGAATGAATAGAAGCTGGAGGTATCCAGATTTTGAGTTCAGCAAGCTTCCTGATTTTTTGCTATAATTTAGTCTGATCTGCACATTCATTTACAATATTTCCTTGGAACTAACTCTTCTTGGCTGAATAATCAACACATTTTTCTCCTTTGTCATTTTACAGGTGTATTTCTTTAGTCAAGATGTCATTTTAATTAGCTTTTATACTGTTCTTAATACCGAAAGATATCCACCCTAGTCACATACTAACAAACAAGACACGCTGTCTATAGCAAATTCTTAGCTGTTCGGGCATCGGTTGAAATGTCTTCCTCCCCTTCAAATCCCGCAGGATTACGTCATCTTTTTCCATACACGATTTTTGGACTAGTTATACAATCCCAATTCCCTTCAAATTTGGTTTAGAAAACAGACACCAAAGTGAGCAAAACGTCTTGTAATTGGCTCCAAAAAACTAATGGGTCTGGGCAACTGATGTGTTTCAGTAGTTGTGGTAACTTCTATTAAATACATGTAGTTGCAACTAGTCAACTAGTCGTGGAACCAACGATAACGGTTTTGGTACAATATGGAACATTTGTGGGTCTGTGCTTGCATAACAACTAGGAATGAATCTAGGACAGTGTCATACTCAATGCTCGTGTTCTGGTACTTCTCCACTTTTGTTTGGGTGGATGGAGTTCAGTGTTCTAGCTAGGACCATTTTAGTGCTGGGTAAATGTTTGGATTGCAAAACGTAGCTGGACTGGATGTGCATCCTCTACTGATACCGCTGGTCTTGAGCCAAGACTACAAACACATGCACACTGCCTCTGGAAGGCTACATGTACATTACACTGTATATCCCATAATTTCAATGCTACAATCCTGGACAAATCTCGTTGGAACATGCCTCCCCCTCGCCCCTTGTCATTGTCATTTCTCATTGGGTAAGTTGGGCTTAATCTTGGTCCAATAAATAACCGCAACATTGAATGGTGGAGAGGGGGATCTTTTCACCGCGCTTCCCACAAGGTGTTTCAACTATTTTGTCAAGGATTGTAGCTAGACGTGGCTAGGACACTGATGGAGTTTATTCTTTTCAAAAGAAATATGAGGCCATTTTGCGAGATCAAACAGCCATTACCCTGACATGATCAGTCAAATGACTCCATGATCCTCACTTCTTACAATTTTTTAAATGCTTGCTTGAATGCTTACATCAACAGGCTGTCCTGCAAAGGTTGGAACCAAGAAAGACTGTGTGAAGTTTTGTCTGAACACTGTGACACAAATGCTTGTGAACGCATGCACAGAGTAGGTTTGGTAACCTGCATCCGCCCATTTTCACCTCACATTTACACTTTCAGCGCCCATGGATATTCAATAATGCCCAACGTTTTGGGTTTTTGGAAATTCTGCGCTTTCACTATAGATGCTAACATCGGGAGAATGATCGGTTTCTCCATTACCCTTAGCTTTATTTTTGTCTTTATCACCTGACTCATAATCTTGGTCTGATGATTTATCATTTGAACCAAAAAATAATCCTTTTCACTGTCCGAATCAGCAAAATGGTCACGAACTTCCTCTTCAGAAAACCACACACGTTTACTGGAGGCTGCCATCTTCACGACAATGTGCCCCCTCTTTGGAACCAAAATAAGTAAATGAAAAAAAGGACACACATGAAAAAAAATCCACACAGACATCGACTGATACGCCCTCTTGCGATAGGTTTTGATCATACAAGTACATGTACGATCATTGGCATTTTTACAGGAAATATCAAGAACCCCAAGATCATACATGTACGTATTTGGCATTGAAAGTGTAAAATATTCGAGCTTTGTCTTGCGTGGTCATTCCTAGTCTATGTACACGTGTAACAGATGCTTGCTTGCAGATGAGCCTCTGTTATATTAGTGCAGATTCAACAATTGTACCAGACAACCCCATACTGCCTCTTCCCCCCCCCCCCCCGATCTTGACCAATCAACAGTCTACTCCTGTATCTTCAACTGGAAGACATAGCAGAAGCAGGTATATTTAGTCAGGTACCGGGTTGGAGTTGATGACTGGTAAAATTGTATTTGTTTAGCTTTCCACTCTCTGTGTTAGGCTGAATCTGCTTGGTCACCATGGCTTGAAGCAGCCCAGACATGGGGACTGAGGGGCATGGTACAATTCCTAAAGAAGCAGATCAAGCGAGCGATATCGCAGAAAGACTCGCCAAAGACAGAAAGGTGCAAACCGAAATCAGAGATACATGTATACCCATCAGAGAATTCAGGAGCTCAGACGAAGTGTAAAGAACAACAAGAGGTGCTCAAACATTAAACTAAGCTAGAATAACCGAGTTAGAAACTGAGATATCACAACTCAAAAATGAACCTTACACGTCGATGTGAGTATTTTAGATTCAATTGAATTGATAATGCCGATGTCAGAATTAGAGGAAGATAATACAACCTTGTTGTTTGACTTAATAAACGTTTGTGTCAGAATTAGAGGAAGATAATACGACAA